TGTTTTGTTTCTATGGATTTGCCTATTACAAGGGACATACAATGTGTGCTCATTTGTATCTGGCTTCTTCATTTAGCATAATATCTTCACCCAGGTGGTAGTATGTGTCAGAATTTAGTTCCTTTATATAGCTGCATAATATTTCGTTGTACAGATATACCACATTTAGTGTGTCCATTCATTAGTTGGTGGATATTTAGGTTGTTTTGGCTATTATGAAAAATGCTGCTGTGAACATTTGTGCACACGTTTTTGTGTGAATGTTTTATTTTCTTTTCTTGTTTGTTTTATCTGTTTTAAAAAGGACAGTTCAATACATGTGAGTAAATAGTTTGATGTTTAGGACCTGAGAAATTATTGAGATTATCTTTCTGAGAATCAATTGTTTTAGTACACAGACCAGGTATGAAAAACTATATGGAAGTTTGAGTTGAACATTAGTTAAGTGTAGGATATACCCTTAGGTTTTATAATTTCTTTAACAAATCTTTATTTATCGATATTTGTTAATGTTTTTAATAAGCAAAGTGTACAGATGTAAGAGAATATACACACGAAGTCATACTTTTTATGTTGCAGTTCTTTGAGATTTTTACCTGACTAATAACACACGGAAATGCTTGGAACTTGAACTGCTCTCTGAGCAAGAATCTAAAGATGAATTACAAAAGTTAGTAGAAATAATTTTAAAGAAATAGAGATTTTGGTTAAAGTAAAGCTAAACTAAAAATATTCAACATACTATTACAAAATAAAGATAATTCTGCCGGGCGCGGTGGCTCACGCCTGTAATGCCAACACTTTGGGAGGCCGAGGTGGGCGGATCACAAGGTCAGGAGATCGAGACCATCCTGGTTAACACAGTGAAACCCCGTCTCTATTAAAAATACAAAAAATTAGCCGGGCGTGGTGGCGGGCGCCTGTAGTCCCAGCTACTCGGGAGGAGAATGGCGTGAACCCGGCAGGCGGAGCTTGCAGTGAGCCGAGATCGTGCCACTGCACTCCAGCCTGGGCGACAGAGTGAGACTCTGTCTTAAATAAATAAATAAATAAATAAATAAATAAATAAATAAATAAAAATAAAGATAATTCTGTTTAACATAAGTGAGATTGGTCTGAAAACAGCGAGAGAAAAATCATAATCACAAGAAAAAAGTTGGCTGTGTCTCTCCAAGCTCCACTGGGACAGAGAGAATTAGGTCAGCGATATTTGAGTATTATACTGCCATTTGAAAGGCTATCCCTGCTGTGGAGATGGACATATCAGGCTGTTTTTGTCTCACACCATTAAGCCTAAAATCGTCTAATTCACTCTCCTTATTCTAATTCCATACTAATCAAGCAACCTTCTGATTATAATTTGGTTTCCCGCACTGGTCTGCCTACAGGGTGAAAATGTGCTGGCCATTCTAGTGCGAGTATTCCAGGCCACAGGGTGACTGCATTTCTCACTGTAAGTTAATGAATCATCATCCTGATCTACATTATTCTTGTGAGACATAGTGCTTGTCTTGTGATGATGTGATCTGGTTTGTATGCCCAGAAGACTGAGGTCCACAGATATCTTTTCACCACAGACGCTTCTCAGTGGGGCTTCTCAAGGTATCCCCATTGAGCCCCAGGTCCCAAACTCCAACATCACCCTTCACTGACCATTTCCTATTCAAACATGTGTTTACTGTTGGTCATGACCATTAGGCTGAAAACGCCCACAGGTAAAACTTTTACTGTAAAAATGCAAAAGGTCTTTGTCTCTCATTACCATCTACTTCAGTACTTCTTTACTGATGAGACAGGAAAAAAAGAGGAGATTTTTAAAAAATTATTTCCGGACATCATTTCTGAAATCATTCGACAACTTCATACAAACTCAGTTCCCAACCTTCCTGAGAAGAGGAAAGGTCAGAGAGGGAGAGGACAAGAGACTATGTGGCAGCTCAGGGGAGTATGTGAGATCAGAGACCCTGGAATCTCGCTGCTTGGATTTTGATTCTGGCCTCACCACATGTGATCTTTACCAAGATACACGAGGTTTTCTATGCTGTAGTCTCCACATCTGTATTAATAAAATGGAGCACTGATAGCATCTGGCTTATAGAGTTGTTATGAGCATTAAATTCAATAAAAAGTTTTAGTTAAATGAACATAGTGAGTCTTCGCACTTTTTTTTTTTTTTTAACTTATTGTACCTACCAAATATGTTAAACTGTTGGCTTAACCTACCAAGGTTTGACCTACCAGTTTTATAGGCCTTGAGTACCCATCTGCAACATTACTTTTCCAGGTAACTGTTGTAAAGCAGTGTTAACTTTGTGCCTCTGTTAAACTCACATTAGAAGCCTCTTTGATTCATTCTCTGGGATTTCAGCTAAAGCAAGGTTACGATGCGGAGGCAGAGGATTTATCTCTGTGCAGTGCTGTTGGACTGTACTCTCAGGTCTGCCAAGGGGAGCTTTCTAACTTGGTCTTTATCTGAAACCCTAGTCTACGCTCCCAGATTCAGTGGAAGAATCAAAATGACAAGTAACAGCTGAATTTATTGACCTCTAAGTTTCCTTCCAACTCTGGCCTCTAGGAGCCATGTCTGTTAACATCCATGCAATTTCTTTTCCTGCTTACCGGTCAGTGGTCTCAGATCAAGCTGAATCCATGTGCGAACCAGTGGGGATTCTTCCAGAGGATAAGAAACCTGATGGCCTGCTATTGCTCTGGGTTATGATGTAGGTTCTCACAATTTTGGAACACAAAGACCTAAGGTTTGAATTAATGTTATGTAAGCATTTTATTTTCCTGTAGGCAAAAAAAAAAAAAGCTTGTGGTAATTTTTATCTTAATCTGTTGACGGTTGTTGCTACTGTCCTGCAGTGTAGACAACACCAGAAGTGGGCATGTTTAAAAAACAATAATTTCCATAGCATTTTCTGGACTTATTGGCATTAGAATTTGTCAGCAACAATTATTCTATAGGTCTTAAACACAATAGATAGCCTACTTGGGCATTTTCCAAGTGATAGTGAAATGACTAAAAACAGAAATTTTCTGTCTTCCCACATTCCTATACCTTGCTTATTGTCAGTGGAGTTGCTCCAGGTATAATCTCAAGTATTAAAATTGGAAGAATGTCAGTTTCACTAGATGTTTGCCAGATTCAATGTGATGTAAAGTATTTTAAAACCTGCAGTGATGACTCTTTGCGTAATGCACTATTCTGTCTCAACAGAAGGAAACAATTACCTTTTAGTGTTAGGTAGATAATTGTCTTTTTATGTTAACATGATTCAGACTTATGCACCTACCTTTTCAATTCAGAATATTATTTTGTGTAGCAAAAGTGAACATCTTCAGGATTTCTTAATATACAGGCAGCACTGGAAACTTCACTTTAAAAATATATGCAACATATGCTAGAAATATTGTGATAGAGATATTTACTCTTACTACTCAGTTTACAGAAAAGCAATATATTTGCTTCCCAAGTGCCTAGTTCTTACACTCAATGAACTTAAATCATTCTGTAACATTCACAGGAAATGAAAATTTATTTTTGGAAAAGCAGTAGATTAAAAGTAAAAAGAAGATGAGCCAGAAGGTGTTATCTCTTCATCCTGAGCATCTGTGTATCCAATGTCTTCCAAACTTCTGCCAAGTTCTTCTCAAATTTTGGGCCTTCCAGGTTGTCTTTCCTGTGTAAATGGAAATAATCTTGAGAATAAAATGTCTCAGCAATTCGATTTCTATATTAAGAGCATAGTTTGTGTTTTTAAATCAGTGACTTCCGCAAACAGCACTGGAATACACCTGTGGTCCCCAAACTTCGTTCCAAATAGCAGCTTGTAAGTCTACCGTTAAAATAGAATCATTTTGTTAACCATTTTCTGTTTCCCATCAAAAACACAGGTCACTAGAGAGACAAAACCCTGCTATTAACATCTTGGTGACTTTATTAGTTTACTTAGCAACATTTATTGAGTATATATTATGTTCCAATCATTGAGCTGGGGGAGAGTTGTCATTCCCAGTGAGTATGTGATGCCTCTACCTAAAAACATCCTGTTTATTTTGCCCATGTAGAAGAAGGATCCATATGCAAAGTTTCTATGCAGAAATGTACTCTGGTGTATGGCAGAGCAGGCCTTATTTAAATCCACTTCATGAACTGTTTTAACAACTGGCAGTTCCACAGTCTTACCTCCTTGTCTCCCTTGGTTCATTTATAAATAATTTGCATGCTGCTTCAGTTCTGTGTTTGGGGAGTAAACTGAAATCTATTTACCAAAATGATTAATATCCATTCCTACTCAGTGGTATATATAAAAAACTTATTTTTTGCAAATAACTCATTTACTTGAAAAATCGAGTATATTAAAAAGGGTGAAAAGATCTGTTTTTGTTATCTGTGTTCCATGGATCTTTGAAGTAAAAGTAGAAAGGCTCTTGGGGATCCTCAATTCACCCCCCTTATACTACTCATGAGGGATGAAGGGACTGGGAGCTGACACCCCCAAGATCTCTTTCTATATCCTCAGACAGTTCCTTTGAGATGTGAAAATATTTTCTCCCTAGATTGTTCAATCCCTGATTTTAGCAAAGAAGAAAACAAACAAACAAAAAACAAGGATGTCAAATGATAACAGAATGCCCTTTTTCCTTGGGTGTAGTTCGTTAGAAAAGATGCATAGCCCAAAATATCATAAATTTAGAGTGTAAAAATGACTAACATTTACACTGTTAATTATTTGTTTTGTGTGTCTACTTTGTGGACTGACTAGGCTAGTTCCTCTTTTTCTTCAGTGATAGGGAATTCCACAAGTACAATTCTGATATTCTTTAAGTTTTTTCCTACCTTAAGTGGTGCATTTAGCCCTTGTACTAATGAAAAAAAATAATAATGTTCTTGGGATCTGGGTCCTGCCTGTTCTACCGCTGACTTGCTGTGTGATCCTAGGTACATTGTTTGTCCTCTCTGGGCCTCAGTTTTCTCTTTAGTATAAACAGTGACAGGCAATGGCCAATGACTTCTACAATCCATTTCATCTTAGACAGTCCAGGATTGGGATACCCTGACACCAAGACCCTTCCTTGGTTGTCTGGCACAGTGCTGCCATGTATTATCTCAGGAACTTTCATTTATTTCCCTTTGTGTCCAAACACCAGAAAGACTTTCTGAGTTGCTTGGTAAGGTCAACTCTCTGGATAAAGGAGTTTAACCTGTTTTTTTGCCCCCAGGTATACCACTGTCAATTCATTTTTAAAAATAAAATTTTGATGTTATTTTTATCCTGCTTTAAAACATTTTTTTTTTTTTTTTTTTTTTTTTTTGCTTTAAAAACATTTTTTTTTTTTTTTTTTTTTTTGAGATGGAGTCTTGCTCTGTCACCCAGTCTGGAGTGCAGTGGCACGATCTTGGCTCACTGCAAGCCCTGCCTCCCGGGTTCACACCATTCTCCTGCTTCAGCCTCTCAAGCGTGGCTGATTATGGTGCCCCCGCCACTATGCCTGGCTAATTTTTTGTATTTTTCTTTTTTTTTTTTTTTTTTGGTAGAGGCAGGGTTTCACCGTGTTAGCCAGGATGGTCTTGATCTCCTGACCTCGTGATCCACCCACCTCAGCCTCCCAAAGTTCTGGGATTACAGGTGTGAGCCACTGCACCTGGCCCTTTAAAACATTTTTGAGAACTCCTTAACAAGGCCCCTAAGCCCACAGAATGTCATTCTTGAGTACCTTTCTCTACTCACTTCTCACCACTTCCTCCTTTCCTTTCATACTCCAGGCATAATTAAATGTTCTCAACTCCCATATCAACACTAACATGCTGCCTTCTGCCTTATCCCAGCAAACCTCTTGTCCTCTGTGATTGTCCTGACTCCTACTGATGATCCACATTACAGCTTCAGTGTTGCTTCGGGGACATATTTCCTGAATACCTAACACTGCAGAGACAGGTCCAGGTGCTCATTGTAGGTGCCCCCACAGCTCCCTGCATCACTTTCTAATATTTTTTACCCATTATTTCAAATATCACTTGTATTTTTCCACTTCCATTTTATTTTCTGTTGCATGCTGTAGTTCTAATTATAGGGCAGGATGTAGAACAGGCACTCAGTAAATATTTGCAGCATAAATGAATGAAGAAAAGAACAAATGGAATTAGAAACTTACAATGCTTAAGAGTTCAAAATTTATCTCTCTCTATCTCCCAACTAGCCAAGGTGTTCTTCAGCCTTCCCTAGGCTAAACTTTGTCCACTGGATCAATAGCAGGTTGTCAACAAAGACAAGAACACCATCTTCAGAATGACCCAGATCATCTTCTTGGGTAGCCCTTTTTGGACATCTCTATGAAATTCTGCAGGTATTGTACCATTCTCCTGCTTCAATACCCTGATTGTCTCCCTATTTCCAATTATTTCTATTCACAATTTTTCCTCTGGCTGGTATGAAATATCTTCCATGATCACAACCCATGCAGCCTATTTAATATCCTTTTCCTTTTCCTCCCCAGTTGGTACTATATACTCCAAATATTGGGACATCTCACTGTCACATCCCCAAGTTCATCTTCAGCATGGTTTTTCTACTTGAGATGTTCCCATTTCCTTCCAGAAATCCTAACCCTACTTACTCTTCAAGGAGCATTGTGAGCTTCTGTTACATCATTTGAATTGTGCAGCTTACCGGACTCACCAGTTGGCATTGAGGGAACCTCTACATCTGGCGGGGAGTGGGGGGGGTCTCAATGTACCTTTGTCCAAGTTCAATCCAGAGAAAGGTTTTGTGGTACTCAGGTTAGGTTTTTAAAAACGTAATTTTTGGCCAAAGTTCAAAAAACAAGAGGGCATGCACTAAAATAAGAATTTATTGGGCATCTCTTGTAAAATATCAGGAGAGCTGGCAATAGCAGGTTGCCAGAGGCTCAACTTTCATAGAGCAACATTTGATGCTGAGTTGTACCCTTCCCCTTAAATGGGCCATGACCTATCGAGTTGCCATCATCTCACCTAACCCAAGTATGTTACTTGCTAGGCCCCACATGCATTTGAGTTTGAAGACCCTGTTTTCCCTTTCCCAGTTTGGAAAAGGCATAAGACAATTAAGCAGTGCTCACTATGCACACATAAATTTATCTTTTGACTGATTTTTTTCTCTTAACATTATTCAGGTAACATGAGTACTGAAAGAATTCATTGTCTCCATCTTCCTTGTACAGAATGTTCACAGATTCTTGGTGGCCACTGAGATAACAGGGAGGTGCAGACAGAGAGTGATTTCAAAGGCTTCAAGCTATTGCTTAACAACATACACTCCTTTAAAAATACAGAAATTCATAAAAATGCCAACTGTTGGAAATTCAGTTTTCTTTTATAAATCATTCTCTCTCTATTTTTTTGGCAGCTGAAAGCTGACACACATAATTATTTCCTGTAAGATACTGGAGAAAAAAAAGCCCAGGAGATATTGTCAAGGCTGTTTCTGGGGTGGGATCGGGGAATAGGAGATGAGTAAGTAATGAAGACTTTCCTGCATAATAGCAAAATTGTTATTCATACTGTATGACAATTATTAGTTATTAGTTACTTACATTTTCTCAAAACACAATACCATTCTAATTCATCTGTGCCCAATTTAGAGAGTAGCTCTAACTTCTTCCATAATATTATTGCTGTAATTTTTTGTGAATACCTCCTAGACCATTCAGTGGACAGCAAACAGTGGCTAGCTCAGGAGACACTGACAAGGACAGAGAAGCTACAAAAGATTTATACTTGAAAGCAAGATTTAGTTTATTCTAGAGGTGCCCAGAATCAGGAAAATAGATAGAAATTGAGAAGTTGGAGATTTAGACTTAATGTATTAAAGCATTTTAAACTACAGCAAGTTATCTGAAAATAGTCTAGGCTTTCTTGAGAGTTGATGAGTTACCTGTCAAAAGAGATGTTCTAGAAGACATTGGGGCAGGGGGGTGGGACAGAGATGGATGAGGAGAAATTACAATTTTATTTTTATCTTTTTAAGACAGAGTCTTGCTCTGTCACTCAGGCTGGAGTTCAATGATGTGATCTCGGCTCACTGCAACCTCTGCCTCCTGGGTTCAAGTGATACTCCTGCCTCAGCCTCCCAAGTAGGTGCAATTACAGGCACCCGCCACTACGCCCAGCTAATTTTTGTGTTTTTAATAGAGACGGAGTTTCACCATGTTGGTCAGGCTGGTCTCAAACTCCCAACCTCAGGTGATCTGCCCGCCTCAGCCTCCCAAAGTGCTGGGACTACAGGTGTGAGGCATGGTGTGTGGCCGATGAGAAATTACTTAATGGGGACAGTGTACTTTTTTTCTGGTTATGGATACCCTGAAAGTCTGACTTCACTGCTAGGCAATCTATACATGTAACAAAATTGTACTTGTACACCACAGATTTATAGAAAACAAAATACATAAATCTATTTTTAAGAAAAGAATACATTGAATTGCCATCTGTAGGTAGTAGGTACTGAAACACCTTCTATAGGTTGGTTCATAACTTCCCAGGTCACAGGTCACTTCTAGCCTAGCTACAGAAGGTAATTTTATGCCTCTCAAACTCTAAAAAGAAATCCGTTCATATTTATTAAAATTTTAATGATGGTTTATACTAGTTGTTAGAGTTATGAGTCCTTTTAAATTTCTTCTTTAGAAACTTCTGAATATTCTAAAAATGAGCACACATAATTTCTCAAACAGAAAAAATAACAAGTTTCAAAGAGAAAGTATTTCCTTTGGGTTGCCTAAGGAAGCCAGCACTGCTACTTGAACTTAGACTATCAAAAATACAACTTTGAATCTTTGCAATAGCTAGGTATTGCATAAGAATAGCTGCGCTATAATGCAGCTTCAAAACCTCTAATTTAAAGACCACCTTCTCCATAAAGTGTGCCCTGGTTATCTCAAGAGGGCAGGATCTCTTCCTCCAGAATTCCTTATAGCTAGCATCTATTTAACTACTTACGGCCTGAAATTAATTGTTATCCTCTCTTGTGTGCTTATTCTGCTTACCCAACTAGGCTGTAAACCTTGAGAAAGTAAAGTGTCCCATGGCAGCAATTAGCAGAGTATTTAGGGGACTTGTAGATATATAATTTAAATGCCTCCAGAGTATCCATTTTCAAACAAAGATAACCAGGTCTCTCTGGCAGGTTTACTTTTGTTCTTCTTTATAATATCATAGATTTCATTCCATTACAAAAAATAACTAAAATAAATACGTTGAAAACATATGCATGAAGTTTTGCACAGATATAATTATAGGGTTTTTCACAAACAAAGAATATTTGATGTATGTGTGTCTGTGTGTGTGTGAGTATTCCCTCAATATACGGGGAAATTATGGTGCAATAACCTCACACACTAATCAGAAAGTTATTTGCATTGGGTTTTAGAATGGAATATATTTCTTTATAATATTCTCTTGCCATTCTCAAGCTAAACTACTTGTCTTTGTTTGAGATAATGTTCTCCCATCCTTGCTATTCTTATTATCATTTTCACTTTTCCTAAGCACAAACAAACAAATGAGAAGAGAGGACATGAGACATACTTCAAGTGTATATTGTAGATCAGGGCTGTTAACTATTCTCAAACACATTAATATATATTCTCATTGTGGAGAAAAGTACAAATTTAAGAGATGTCTTGTGAAATTATGCTTGGGAGCATAGTTATAGTCAAAGAGCACTTAGAAATGTCACTAATTTAGTTTCCATTAAAACATCTTTTTCCAAAATACTGTACTTTAAACAGATTGGTTTTGTGTGCTAAACCAGGGGTAATGCTGATATTGGTCATTTTTGGTGTGCTTCTATTTTCATGATGATAATTATCTCTGGATAAAACATATTAAGCCAATCAAGCTCATCCAATTTTTCTTTTGAAGAAATAGTAAACCAACTGTTTTTGGTGCAGCTCAATGTAGGCAATTTTCAACCCACCCTACAGTGGCTGTTAGATAATAATTGATCAACGTGAGGTACAAAAGCATGGTTCTATTGCCTCAAAGCTTGACAAATTCCATGGTGTGATTTACATGTTGGTTCTTCTCAAGGGAGCAGCGTGAGGATAGACCTCATCTGAATCCATGTGTTTGCTGCTCTTTTCTCTTCTCTAATCAGCTTCTTGCACTCACAGATTTCTCCATGGAACACTCCTTTGACAAATGGCTTGCACACAAATCCCTCTCTCTGGCTCTTTTTTTCAGGAATAAAACCTAAGACAAATAACCTTAAAATTAGAGTGAAGGAAATAAATTATGTGCTTTGACAATAAGTGTTTGAAAATAATACTTATAGTAGGTAAGTGATACAGTTTGAATGTGTGTCCCCACCAAATCTCATGTTGAAACATAATCCCCAATATTGGAGATGGGACCTGGTGGGAGGTGCTTGGATTATGAGAGTGGATTCCTCATGAACGGCTTGGACCATCCCCTTGGTGATAAATGAGCTCTCTCTCTCTCTTTGTTCTCAGGAGATCTGGTGGTTTAAAAACGTGTGGCACCTCTCCTTCTCACTCTCTCTTGTTTGCTCCTTTTCTTGGCATGTGACGTGTCTGTTCCCCCTTTGCCTTCTGCCATGATTAGAAGCTTCCTAATACTGCTATGCTTCCTGTGTAGTCTACAGAACCCTGAGCCAGTTAAACTTCTTTCCTTATAAATTACCCAGTCTCATGTATTTATTTATAGCAGTGCAAGAATGGCCTAATACAATAAGAATGTCTGGGATAGCCAAAATAGAGAAGTAACAGAGGTTTTGACTTTAGAGCAGCGGTTCCCAACTGGGAGAAATTTACCCAACACAGGGCATTTGGCAACATCTGGAGACATTTTGGTTGTGATGAGCCTGGGGATGGAAGTAGATGCTAGCAAGCATCTAGTGCATCGAAGTGAGGGATGCTACTAAACATTCTACAGGGCACAGGACATCCAACTACAGCAAAAGTTACCAGGCTCAAAATGTCCATAGTGCTGCTGTTGAGAAACACTGCTGCAGACCCAGCATCCTTGCTAATTCTTTGCATGTGTGTGAATGTGCCATATACGGTCCTTTAATCACACTACATTGACCCCACTTCAAATTTAAAGGGAGTTTATCCACTTTTGTGCCTCTGACTTCATAGAATTTTATGAAAGACATATGCAGTTTAGAGGTAAAAAAAAATCTACTCAGCCAGGCGCGGTGGCTCACGCCTCTAATCCCAGCACTTTGGGAGGCTGAGGCGGGCGGATCACCTGAGGGCAGGAGTTTGAGATGAGCCAGACCAACACGGAGAAACCCCGTCTCTACTAAAAATACAAAATTAGCTGGGCATGGTGACTCGTGCCTGTAATCCCAGCTACTCAAGAGGCTGAGGCAGGAGAATCAGTTGAACCCGGAAGGAGAAGGTTGCGATGAGCTGAGATCGCGCCATTGCACTCCAGCCTGGGCAACAAAAATGAAACTCTGTCTCAAAAAAATCTACCCAGACATAGGTTGGAATGCATTCAGAAAACAGCTATAGGGAACACTTGATGAACCAAATCAAACTTTTCTTTTTGAGAAACTAAACTTTCCTTTTTGATATTTAATTTTCTTCAGTGAGGTAATTGCCCCTTTCTTCTCACTCTGCACCTCCAATGCCTAGCACCAGCCTTGTTTGAGAAAAGGACCAACTCAGATCTAACTTGATTTGTATCATGTACCTGCAAAGCAATTAACTGGGGTAAATTTTGTTTTGTTTTATTGTATTTTTTCGATTTTTCTGACACAATGAAGTTAGAATGTTTTGTTCTGAATGCATTTGTGTATCATATCTGTGTAAATATATGTGTGTGTATATATATGAATATACATACTCATATGTCTATATCATTTCTATAATAATTATTCATATTAATATCCTTAAAGAATACGACTCCTTCTCTTTAGGGAAAAAAAGTAAAATTAAGTATGAAATTCTATTTGGTAACTCTAGAACTGGTGCATCTGTTATGAACATCCTTGGTAATCTCAGGTATTCTAACCACACACCCAAAAGCAACAGTGAATATGATTTCTGCTACCTTATTTCTTTTCTGGGACAATACACAGTCTCACTGTGTTTGAAATACATCACTCAAATCATCCTATGTGCAGGGGCATTTTCAGTTGGCTGACTCCCTTTTGTGTTGGTTCTGAATCCATCCAGTGCTCCAGTGCAATGGATTTCCTAAGATTATATGACAGAAGTAGAGCTATTAGACCAGTGGCTGACAGCCCCCCTCTAGCTCATCATGGGGTCAAATGGAATTCAGGAGGGGGCTGGCACACAGGAAGCGGGGCACTGCAGTGGCAACTTAGGCAAATTTGATCTGTGAAAATTCAGGTTTATGCAAATGCTAAATAATCGATTATTGAAAATAATTCTTCACTTTGTAGATTTAATATAGAGTTTCTTTAAATTGCATTACTCCAAGAATATTTACAATATAACTTAATTTTCAACAAAAAAATTATA